AACGGGGTGTGGGTGAGAAGGGAGCAAAGCTGTCACCCTGAAGCCACTCCCCGCACTCCTCCCTGAGGGCCAGGTTGGATCCAGCAAGGGGATGTGGAGTCCGGATTGGCCTTACCCCTCGCTCCTCACCTTACCCCCCGCCCTAAGAGCACCCCACATCCACCCCCGCCCCGCCTGCAGGCCCGCAGTGCTGGTGTGGACTGCCCTGCCCCTACAGGAAGGCTCCCGGCCGCTGGAAGCTGCTCTCCTCTGAAGGCCAGCAGCCCTGGCTGGCTTTTGCTGTTGGCTCTCCTTCCCACTGTCCCCTAAAGTGTGTGGAGGGTACAAAGCGACCGTTCACGGTTAACACTGCCTGGGCACAAGGGGACCGAGGTCTCTAGGGACTAGAGCAAGGGCGTGGTCACGTGTGCAGGCTCTCCCTCTGGAGGTCCTGGCAGGAACGGCATCGTCCTTCCAGGATGGTGGCTGGGGTGGGTGGTGGCAGGCAGTGGCATAACGCTGTTTCCCTGTCTCCTCTCCCTGGCAGCGTAGTGGGGTAAAAGGTAAACTTGAGTTTGCAGCAGCGTCATGCTGCCCAGCCAGGGGGTGGGCTCTTCATGGAGCCTCCCTGAACCTCAGTTTCCCTCTTTACAAATGGGCAGGAAAGCAGGGGGTGTGGCTCAGTGGAAGAGCGCTGCCTGGCATGAGCAAGGCCCTGGTTTGGACCCCAGCACTGCCAAAAATGAATAAGCAAACAGGTAAAGTGTGAAAACCTCGTGGGCTGGCAGGGTGCCCGAGAGCTGGCTGGCTCTGGTGTACCCGGGTGGAGGCTGCCCTCTGAACAGAGGCCGCTCCTTTCTGCAGCCCCTTAGGCCAGATGCACGGTCACGTGCCCAGTGCATATCGTTTGCCAGATTTGGGGAAGGGCTCCATAAAACTTTTCTGTAATATCTTTAAAAATTTCAGAGGGGTTGAACTATACAGTTATATTTTCTAGGTCCTAGTAAAAATAGTTTGCATATGGCTGTGAAAAATTAAAAATCCTACAAGTCCATCTATGCCAGAACATAGTTTAGAAGCATCAATTAACAAAAAAGATTTTTCCTACTGCCTTAAAAGAGACTGAATTGTGTATGAGACTTACTGCTTTACATCAGAAAGTTATTTTTTTTAACTAAGACCATTTACTGAGAAAATTGCCTTGAAAACATTCAATAAATGCAAAGTGTCTTTTTTCCATAGACATGTCATTTTCCAATGCCTACCACTGTGAATCTTTGAAAGCATTTTATTTTACAAGAAGTATTTAAAAACGTTCACTTTTTTATTACCATTTTGGTTTTTAACACTGGCTCTTTTGACTTTTCTCCAATCACTTTTCCTACATAGGTTTTTTGGAACATGAAAACCATTACCAAAGCCTTTAAGCTCATTGATGTTAACAAGACAGGGCTGGTTCAGCCACAGGAGCTGAAGCGGCTTCTGGAGACCTTCTGCTTGAAGATGACGGATGAGGAATACGAAAGGTGAGGCCGCAGCGGGCAGGTGGAGGTGCTGGGAACGGCGGCAGCCGCACAGCTGACTGTGGCTGGGCCCCGCCCACCTCCTCTCTGGGTGTTTCTACTGGGTCCTGAAGCTCCCTGCAAATTTCCCAGATCAACACCTGCTGGTTCTCCCTCCGGAGCACCCTGGGGCAGGGCCTGCAGGTGGGAACAGGGGGACAGGCCGCTCCTTCCCCAGCCGCCTCCCTGCCC